TTTGAAACACTTAGATCAGTGTCAGGCACACAGTAGACACTGGTTAAAAGCTATTTGTTGTTACTTTTGCAACCTATTTTCATCTCATCACCAAGAGTTAAATGAGCAGCTACTACATATACATAAAATTGTACTAGGCATTTTAGTAGCCAAAAAGAGATTCATAACTGACTCCCAACTAAGCGTTTTCTGTGTCTCAAAGTTCTCTTATAGATATGTTAAGAACACTGATAGATCTCCATTTGGTTCTTTTCTTACAAATTCAGGAAAATATCAGACATAGTCTCATCCTTAGTGACATTCATAGATCTGTAGACCAATTTCTTTGTTAACAATGCCAGAATTAAGAGAGAGGAAAAGTTATATGGGTAAAATAGTTGGAACACTTAGAGAAAGCAAAAGAAATAACATTTCATTGCTATTAACTTGCACCTTGCAGTATAGCCTGCAAATACAAATCTCCTATTTCTCTTGGCTTCACTTCGTCTACAAAACAAGGATGTGGATTAAATTATTGCCAGGATAAGTTCTTTTTTTTTTAAATTAAAAGTTTAATGAAATTTATAAAGAACTTGGATTTTCATTCATTCATTCATTGTTAAACATGTTCCTCCCTGCCCCTCCCCCCCAAGTTCTCTTTTTTCCTTTGGAAAAAAATTCTTTCATTATTATATGAATTCCCCCCCAGCCCACTTTACTATACATTTCTTATTCTGGACTCTTGTCATGCCAGTAATACCTAATCATATATTCCTTTTATACAGGTCTCTCCCTCATCTGTTTCAATGCTGTGTACATTATTTAGCCCCTCTTTTCTTAGTTTCCTCCAACCCCCATGTCAGTCCTGTTTTATAACGGTGGCGTTTTGCAGTATTTGTATTTTTGTGACTGAGATATTTCACTCAACATAATGTCCTCCATGGTCACCCATTTTGTATAATAATTCATGAGTTCTTTGTTTTTCAGTGCTGCATAATATTCCATTGTGTGAATGTACCACAGCTTCTCTATCCTTTCATTTGTTGATGGGCACTTGGGTTGTTTCCAACTCTTTGCTCTTATGAACAAAGCAGCAATAAACATGGGTGTGCATATATCTGCTTGGTTGGCAGTTCTGGTTTCTTTAGGGTATATTCCCAGTAGTGGAATTGCTGGGTCAAATGGTATCTCTATTTGCAACTTTCTGAGAAAGAACCATACTGCCTTCTATAGTGGTTGCACCATTTTACACTCCTACCAACAGTGAATAAAGAACCTCACCAGCATTTGTTACTTGCTGCTGTGTTGAATTTTGCTATTCTTACTGCTATTCTTATATCTCATAGTTGTTATGGTCAGATAAGTTCTAATAGGAACCTCCTTAGTGAAGGGAGAATCAGAAATAAAGCTACTTAAGTAGGAATAAGAGAAATAGGTGTGAGACTATCAGGAAAACAATTCTAACTAAAGAATAAATTATATTTTAAATGGTATTTGGATAGATAGAACACTACGAGAAATTATTCAGATGAGTTCAGATTTCCTATAGAAGAAATTTAGCATTGGTATTGAACAAAAGATTTTCATGAAATTGATATTTTGGTATGGCAATTAGCCATCAATATATAAGTTGAAAAGAGAAAGAAAATTAGGTCTGAGAGATGAAGAAATAAGAAGAGTACAGAGTTAACTGATATCCTACTATTTCTTCCCTGCAGATTTTAGAACTCCTCTACTGACTAGTGGGACAGCTGGAAAAGAGCACCAGTTTGTAGTGGAGAGGAGCTCAGTTAAGTTTAAATAATTAGCCACTATCCAGGCGAAAGTATCCGTCCAGTGAAGATTTTCAGAGATACATAAATGGAGAATGCAAGTGAGAATATTGGCAGGAGCATGGGAGAACAATCTATTTACTCCTGAAGAAACTCTCTGCCCTTAGTTTTCCTTTGTTGTGCCTGCTGCTTTTATGCTTTGGTTTGTCTGATATCACCTTTGCTGTTACTCAAACATCCTTAATTTCTTGAATTTGAAACACAGTAGAACATTAATGAAATACATAGTACCTTGTAGCATAGAGCATAAAGCATCACTTCATCATTTCTTTAAGTTTGTGAAGAAAATTATCTCTAAAACCAAATGTGCACTAAAAATTATCATAAATGTCATTTTATTTGTTTCCCACTGCCTATAGCAATAAAGTAAAGTTTCCTAACAAAGCAGAAAACATCTCACAGCTTGTTATCTGCTTGCATGTTCAGCCTCATTTCTTATTGCCTTTCCCCCATGCTCTTCCAATAGGTTAGACTTGTTTTCACCTTCATCCTCTCATGTCTTTGCACATGTTCATCTCACTGACACACACTGCTTCAATATCTCACTCCTTTTGCAAAGGCTTCTTGACAAATGCCTTCCTGCGTAATTAGACCTCCGTCATCAGTGCATTCTTGTACATATAAAAACCATTATGTGTCAGTGTCACATAGTTTTGTAATTTATTCTATTTCTCTTACTCCTGATTAGAATGTTTCCTCCTTGAAGGCAGGGACCATATAGTTTTATTCATCTAGATAGTCCCAAGTATAAACACTATAGTTCTTGGCACACAAGATTTATCTATTTTAGCATTTCTGTTAATTTTTCTAAGCCATTAGGGAAGGTGTTTGAAAGAACCATTGCAGAAAGTACTGATTAAGTTGCAGAAATATGTATGGGAATGGTGTTGCTAATTCTCTACCTCCTGGAGGCTGTGGGGCCCACATTTCATTAAGTGAAGCAAGCCTGTGATGAGTAGCAAGTTATCCCATACTTCAGCAGCAGATAAAAGTGCTTGCAGATGTGAAAGCAAGAGTCTTTAAACTTGTTTCACTATCAGAGTTTGCAGTATCCATCTCCAGGAAGCAAAATAGTAAACATGTCATTCCTTTTGTTTCAGTGTTCCGATAATTTCGAGAAATTACCAAACAAGAAAAGAAATCCTAGAGAACTTGAAAGACATAGGCCTAAGCAGATGTTTCTGGAATCTTAAGGTCGCACCTCACAGGCAGAATGTGTTTGTTAGCTTTTCAAAGGATAATCTATTGGCATGTTTTTTCCCCTGTGAATTAAAATTCATTTCCTAGGAAATACCAGTAGCCCTATCTTCCTGCTATTAAACAGAATGGCGCTAATGAAAAGATGACCCGCTGACAGAAACCCTCTGTTAAGCCATTTTGACCCACCATTCTATGGCAGTTGGTGCTGGGTTAAAGTGTGAATGGGTGCTGTAAGTGGAAGACACAGGTGAATTAAAGACCCTCAGGGAAGGACCCTTGTAGCTCATCTGTCTGTGTATTTGAGAAAAATCTCATTACTGTTGGCCTAGTCAAAAAAACCCAGCAATGCTAGAATTTACACTTGAGATTTCCCCTTTCTCCTGAGTATCAGTTTTCACATTCCTACCATCAAGAGCACTGTTTCTTGATGGAGGTTGGGATTATGGAAAGTAGGAAGCCACAGGTTGGATTCCAAACCCTACCCCACCCCACCCCGCCTTTCAAAACATTTTCAAAGACCAGAGTAATATCGATAATATGCCTTGGGGTCTTACCTCCTGCCCTAGTTCTGTTCTAAGCCTGTGTTATGTCTTCTTTGCTTCACTTTGTGTCAGGCACCTACCTGATCCAGGGTAATGAGGCTTGCTTGTTGATGTGCATTGGTATCGAATTTAGTATAACTTGTGATTAATTTCATATATACACATACCTACACACACACACACACACACACACACACATAATATCTGCCTCCCAAAGGAAATTCTCACTCAAGAATCAAATCTTGATGAGTTTCTCTTAGTAAAAACAATGCGAATATAAATGCAGCCTTAACGACAACTTTACTGACTCCCTGTGGGGTAGAATTCCCAGTAATAACAGATTTAGCATGTGGTCTGATACCTTTTTAGTATCACAGGGACAGCATTGTTTAGAGAAAGCCTTGACTCCATTTGAATAGTGTAGAGGATGCCAGGAGGAAGGCCAGAGGAAAAGGAAACGGGAGAGCTGTTGGTTTGTCTCACCCTTACATCAGATGACAGGAAGTCGAAATTGAGATTGGCCACAGCAACCTGTTAAGGCCACATCTGTTTGAATAACTCAAAAGCTCTATAGAAACCAAATATGTTTGAGAATAAGGAATCCAAGAAGAGGATGCAGGACAGAGTGGCAAGCAAAATCTTGGGGTGGACATTGTGCATGGAATAAATTTCTTTTTTGGCCATCTGCATTCTTGACCATATCCCAGCATATAACTGTGTCAGGGCAGCTGGGGTTGGTTAATTATCCACAGCTGGATTACTTACAGGAACTGGCCCCTTCCCCTGTGAGAGACCAGCCTCGCTCATGCTGGAGTTCCACGGTGTTCAAATGTCCAGTCACATCAGGAATGGAAACTCTCAAGCAGCTATAGAACACCTCTAGCTGTGGTTTGGTTTTTGGCAGTTTCTCACAAGTGCAATTTAGATATACTGGTTAAACTATAAAATCTAATAGGAAAGGCTCCTGTTGTTCTGTTTGTATGTATAAATATGTATGTGTTTGTTACGTTGTTTGTTCTAGAAGTGGGGTAAGGTTTGGCTTTGGAGTGTGGATATGTGTTTCTGCTAGAGTTCTAGCTAATTATTCATGAATACTATTCCATTGCCAAGAAATTAAAAATAAATAAATCGACACTATTTTTGAGCTTTTATCCAAAAAAGAAAAACAAATGGTGCCTGTGGGCCAGACAGCTGTTTGTTAGGTGTGGGTTTTTGTTTGGTGTTTTTGTGCTGGACAGACACATAGCCATGACAATCCTAGTTCCTATTCCAAATAGAGGCAAACAACTCTGTTTGCCAAATACACTAACAGTTTGAAGGAAGGCGAGGCAGGAGGGGGCAGCATAAGATTTTATCCCTGGGACAAGTTATTCCTTTTATCTTACCCGGCAGACCTAATAACCAAGAAAATTCCCATTCTGTACTCATGGCTGTTCTTTCTCCACAGATACCACCTCCTCAAGCTCCTCCAGAAATTTGGCAAAGTAAAGCAGTTTGACTTCCTCTTCCACAAATCAGGTGCTTTAGAGGGGCAACCTCGGGGTTACTGTTTTGTTAACTTCGAAACTAAGCAGGTAATTTAACCTCCTTTTCATAGGACTTACCAAATATATTGTAATTATTTGCACTACTCTCTTGACTGCTAGAATATTGATCCCTTATAGAAAAGAGCTGTGTCTGATTCCTATGCATATTAGTATTGAGTACTGAAGTGTATTTTCAGCAAATATATTAATGAATGTCTTTCAGAATGAACCTTCACTAGGCTCAAGGTCTATTTTTCTGACCAAATGTTTTGGGATGCCCATACTAAGTATGTGGACATCCTCTTCTGTTCTTTTCTGTTTTGTTTGCTGCTAGCCGGCAGGGCCTCCTTTTCTTTCAATAATTTTTCCTCTGGTGCAGAAACCCTGTTTGTGGTGAACCACCCACAAGCTCTATTTTATTTTGATTTCTTAAAAATGTTCCCTTTGGTGTCTCAGAGCAAATGCATTATACAAATTTGAAAATATGCAGAAGAGCATATTCTCTTTTACCCGTGACAGACTTGTGCTTTTTCTTTGTTACCGTTTTAGTTCTTCGTGTGCACACATACAGGTAAGGAAATGTAATGTAGTAGAGAGCTATTGCTCTCACTCTATAATAATTTGTTAGGACTTTTCCTAATTATTGTTTATTATTTTTATTATTAATAATTTGTATTTGTTATAAAATAATATATAGACATGAAAATATAAATATCAAAAATAATAACATTTAAGTCCAAAAATCAAGTCTTATCAGTCACTTATAACCCCACTACCTGTTAATAATAATTAATATTTTCTATCTTTTCAGTCTCTTTTTCTTCAAATTCATAACACATACTACACATAAAACACCTATAAAATAAGTAAGATCTTCTATAATATTTTATCACTGAGCCTTGGTGATGTAATGTTTAAGTGCTTGATTGTTAACCAAAAGATCTGTACTTTGAACTCAATAACCACAGGAGAACAATGTGGTGATCTGCTTCTGTGTAGACTGCAGCCTTGGAAGACCTGTTGGGCAGCTATGCTGTGTACATAGGGTCACCATGAGTCAAAATGGACTCAGCAGCAACAGAAACCCTATTTTATTCATCATACCTATTTATGTTATGATACATACCGTATTTGTTGCATTTTATCATAATTTTTTTTAATTGTTGGGGGTGTGGGTGTGTGGGGGGGTGTGTGTGTACACCATCAAATCAGATCTAACTGGTATAGGAGGAGATTGTCCCTCCTCCTCCGGCAGAGCATCTGGTGTGTTCAAACTACGCACCTCTGGGATTGCAGTCCAGCTTCTTAGCACTAGGCCACCAGAGCTTGCCTATCATAATATCTTAAGACCTCAGTTTTTAAAAGCTGCATTAGATTCGATATTGATTACATCATTTTGATCACTGCATAGTATTTTGTTAAATGAGTTATAATACAATTTGACTAATCCCCAGTTGCTAGATAGTTAGGTTGACTCCAGTGATTACCTAGTATGAATAGCACCTTAGTGAATATCTATAGCTGTAACTATATGCATATTTACTATATTTATGGTAATGGAATGATATGATTGTGATCAAAGGTCATGAATATTTTTTGTTAATATAATTACCATTTACCTTCCAGAAATGATGTACTAGTATATTCTGAGTCTGTTTGAAAATTTAGTTATTTCTCCTTAACAATGCCAGGTATTTTTCATTCTCCCTAATTTTTGCAAGTATTACAGGCAGAAAGTGATGCATTCTTATTCTAGTTGCTTAAAGTTTTTTGAAGAAACTGAAAGAACACTTTATATGGCTAGCATTTTTAAATACTTCTTTCTTCCCTAATGGTAGATTATGATAAAGTGTCTTGAGGACAATTAAAATCATTGGTCATTTTTGAGATAGATTAGTTTAAAAACAGTGAGTTTTAAGACACAAAGCTTGACTTATATTCCTAGTTTTTCTTAAATTTGAGCAAGTCTCAGCCTCTTTCAGCTTCAGTTTTCACTTGAAAATAAAACACATCCCCTGCTGACATCTGATTACAGAGAATGCCATTGAAGTCCTGCTTCACCAAATGAAACTTAAAAAAGAAGGAAGTGTCTTATATATCCCACTAACTTGCTGTGTTATCATGAGGCAAAAATGCGTGGCACACATTGGGTACTTAATAAATATTTGTTGAGTATCATCTGAGCAGGCTCTGAAGAAACAATAGAATCACCCAGGAGAACCCTACTGGGTACACTTTAGTCTCAGGTGATCCCTAACTTCTAGGACTTCTTTCTTCTTCTATTCCTTAGGGACTTCTTCATCCTAGTAAACATGGCTGAATGCCACAAAAGAGGCACAGCAGCTTTGACCAGATAGGAAGATACAGGCAGGTCCCCTGGGAGTGATTTAGGAGTGTCTATTGTCAGTCAACCTTCAGGAAATTCCTTTAAACTTTTTTAGTTAACTTTTTCTTTTAACCTTTTACATAAATCTGATAGAAGAATAGTTAAGATTTTGAAGTTACGAAAACCTGATGCCAGATTGACTCACACAAATACCTTGTTCATAATCTCTTTGGCTCACTCATCGTTGTACCTCATTTCCCTCACTCCTAAAACTTTTTTAGCCATTACTGTCTCCCAATTTTGGACCCAGGGAAGAAGCCATAGTCCAAGATGTAATTCCAGGTCCCTTGAAGAAAGTAATTTCTTAACTTAGTAGGTGCTACCCTAACTAACAGAAATGTGCAGAAATATTCAACTAATAAAAATAATAATATTAAGATTTGTAGAGTCCGTACTCTATGCTCTTTGTATGTACTTTGAATCCTAACAACAGGCAATGGATTATTTTTGAGTCCTTTTACCGCCCAACAAGTGATAATCATATTTTACAGGTGACAAAGTGCTAATATTCCAATTTAAGAGACCTGCTAAATATCACAGTGCTAGCAAAAGATAGAACCAGGATTTGCATTTTTGACTGACTTCAGAAAGTTCATACCTTTTGTTTTATTATGCATTTTTTTACTGTAAAGCCTTTGCCAATCATTACCAAAATCAATTTAGTTAGAAATTCAGCCATTAAAGGTAGTAAAGCCCTGTGACAGTACCTTCAGAGATTCTGGCATTTGAACATTTAACTAACATTGATCCCTTTTCTGGACAGGAAGCAGAACAAGCCATCCAGTGTCTCAATGGCAAACTGGCTCTATCCAAGAAACTGGTGGTACGATGGGCTCACGCACAAGTCAAGGTACGTACCGGAGGCTAGAAAGGCAGCATCAGACCTCATCCTGAATGAATTTTCTGAAAGACAGTTGTCCACTTACCCATTTGCATCCAATCCTCTTCACATCTGGAACAGTCATACTTTGGTCTCCTACTTGTATTTACCATGTGTGTTGCCAGATTTTTCTTTTGAGAAACATCTCAGGAGGGATTAAGTTCCTTCGTTGTTTCTTTCCACATGCCCACAGATCCTGCTTTTGATTGATTTTTCCATGTGGCTGATGTGTATACTCAAACCTCTATCTTTTTTTTTTAGTAGAGGTTATTCTTTGGAGGAAAAAAATGTATTTATTTTTAAAATTAGTTGCTCTAGGCATTATTAGACTCTTCCCAGCCTCTTAACTCAGGGGAGAATTTGAATATGTTTACTCTAAGTGCTTAAGAAATGGATGGTTTGTATGAATGTTTAAAGCACTGGCATCTCTTTATCCAGATATTTTGAAAGTTATTAGGATGTGGGTTTGTAGGACTTTGCAGTGCCTGTATTGTCTTTTAAGTCCAGAGAAGTGACAATAAGCACTCTTGCTTATCCTGTAGTTGGTCTCTTGGCAGAGAGCACAGAAAAAGCTAAGACAATTAAAAAGGAGACAGGGAGGTGGTTTGAGGATCTCATTCTATGGCAGCTGGCACCAAGCTGGTGAGGTGTATGGATCAGGAGTTGATGCTCTTTTTTTTCTGCTGTGGGACCTTGACAAACTTTTCCTTTGAAAAGATATGTGGCAGTTAAAAGTCAGAGTTCAGTCTTTAACTATGTTGCACATACGTCCTACCCAACAAACTTCTCAGCAAAGAGTCATAGAAATGAATCATATTTAAGCTTAGTGTCCAGGCTGAAAAAGAAAATAAAATCTCGATCTTCACCCTGAAACCCACAGCGTCCCTTTTCAGCAGGAAGTAGCTAAGAGAATACGCCATCCCCTTTTCCTTATGACTCAGGGTGAAGTCTCTCTC